CTCCTATTTTGAATGGCTTTCAAAATAGGGATTTCCGAGCAAGAAGTGCTGCTGAGAATGGTCTTCAACAAAGGTAAAAAACGGCGAAACGGATACGTCGCGCATTCTGCTATGATTTTAACTTTGAAAGCCATTCAAAATAGGAGTCGCTCTGAGAATTCCCATGTAATGCGCATGTGATATGGCTGAACGGTGAGCGATGTAACTATCCAAGTTGGTGTATACCCGCGGCTCGTTCAGACGTTGGGGAACGTTCGGAAAATACGACCCCCTAATTCCGTCCTCTGAACGTCCCCCCCTTCCCCATCCTACCAACCACCTTCGTAGATTTTCCAAATTCCCTTCCTTCCACTTTTCCTAGTTTTTCCGGAATTTCCCTGAAAATTTTCTAGTTTCCCCCCGAAATTTTGCTGTCGAGGGGTGGGATAAGGGGAGGATGTCGTCAGAAATCAACCACTAGTTCCAACTTTGGAAATAGTAGTTGTTATAGGGCTTTGGCGGCGTCACCAACTAGGGAGAGGGGACCGCGAAAAGTCAACAACTGGGAAAATTTGTCTCCAACGCCGCAGATTTCTCTCTAAAGCAAATACGACCCCCCCCCCCGCCTCTCGCAGCAACGAGCAGATACGACCCCCACCCTTTTGCGCTTCCGTAACGCAAGAAAAATCAACTTCAGAAACATTTCTCAGACCTTCGCCGCCCTCCCCCAGCGACCAAATGCGACCCTCCACTGGACACTACCAACGTACAATGGGGACGGATTATGCCCCTTGAGGTGGTTCGATAGCAATCAAAGACACTTTTCGCTATTCTTAGTTATGTAGTGGGACTCGAACATAAAGTTGCAGGTACTAATTGACATAATAGTGAAGAAAAAAGCAGAGTACAAGGAGCTGTTGAAAGCACCGAAATAGGCCACGATCGATTTTTAGCCTTGGACAGGAGTATGCAGTGAATGGAGACGCAGAGACACTCAACAAGAGTATAGATAAGCGCGCTAGAGTCACATTGCTGCACACACAGGGTGAGAGAAATCGCCGACGCTGCGCAGCAGTCGTATGCCCGTGAGCATCTGTCACAGAAACATGTGGAGTTCCTGCTGCACTTTCGAATGACGAACAGGGTACTCGAACCGGGGAGGTCCGCCAACTTACCATGGAACTTTTGGAGTCATCGATAGAGTCTATAAGGTTATTTACAAATATAGATAGCAAAACTGCAACCTGCATTTCACAAGCAACTTATGAGCAGGTAAAGTTTGTAATGGTGGTGTAGGGTGGAGGCTTGGTGGTGAGCTGTGAAGCATAAGCGAGGAATCGCATACGAATCGAGTCGTCGAACGTCGAACCTTACCACTGAACCACCACGACTCGATTCGACGTATGCGATTCCTCGCTTATGCTTCACAGCTCACCACCAAGCCTCCACCCTACTGCACCATTACAAACTTTACCTGCTCATAAGTTGCTTGAAATGCAGGTTGCAGTTTTGCTATCTATATTTGTAAATAACCTTATAGACTCTATCGATCTACCCAGGTCTCCATTCAAAGTTCCATGGTAACTTGGCGGACTTCCCTAGTAA